CCGGCCTGGGCCCCTGGCTCCCTCGCTCCAGGACCAAAGTGACTGCCCCCCTCCCCGCCCAGAGCCCCGCACCTCCCTCACCCGGCCTCACACCTCATGACAGCCCTCCTTTTTAACTTTAGTGGAAAATCAAAGCGCGCCAACCGACATCTAAGTGCGCCCTGAATGCCTCACTTTACAGGCATGCTTCTCCCTTAATCCTCAATACCTCCGTGAGCAAAATGCTAATCTCCCTTTTAGACAAAGGACACCGAGGCTGAGAGATGAGAAGCGAACAGTGACCAGTGGAGCTGGGGGCAGCATCCAGGGCTGAATCCGAGAAGCTGCCCACCGCACACTGTCTCTTGCCCTCTGGTTAGGGGCTCGAGGTCTCTGGCCGCGGCGACGATGACCTTCGTTCGGCCCAGGGCTACCCACTTCGTAAAGTCAGAGAGCAGGGGGCGAGAAGGAGCCTGCGCTGCAGGCAGGCTGGGAAGGACCCTGGAGTCACGTGCCCCCCACCCCCCAGCTGGAGCTGCCTGTTCTGGCCAAGCCTCCCACTCTCCAGGCGGGTGTCTGTCCCCCAGGCTTCCTCGGCCGGCGCGGGGGTTACCGTCTCCTTCAGCTCCCCCAGCTTCTCCTGCAGCTGGCCCAGCTTCTTGGCCAGCTCCTTCTTGACATGCTGCTCTGACTGCAGCGCGGTGGTAACCTCCATGTTCTCGTTGGACTGGACAGAGAGGAGGAGTCAGCGGCCACCCGGCGCAGCTGGAGACCCCAGGATGTGGCGTCCGCCTCCCACAGCTCATCTGAGCAGGGCTCTCTAGCTCACAGGGTGCCTTCACGGGGACCATGTCAGGTGGGGTCCATACCCCCACTCCCCAGTTTTACAGGTAGGGAGACAGAGGCCCAGAGGGGTTAAGTGACCCGGCCAGGGAGGAAGGGCCGCGCACCAGCCTGACAAAGCCGTTCTGCAGCTCGGCCAGCTGCTCCTTGAGCTCGCGGTTCTGGGAGAGCGCGCGGCTGATGGTGGTGCGATCATTCTGCATGGTCTCCAGGATCTGCTTGCGCTCCTTGGCCTGCTCGCCCCAGCACTCGGCGGCGCGCTCCAGCTCCAGCAGCCGCTGCTCCTGCTCCTGGTTCAGGCGACTCAGACCTTCGTTGTCTTTCACCTGGGCCTGCAGCTGCCCCGCCAGGATCTCCAGTTCCTTCTGCAGTTGCTCAGCCTCTTCATGGAGCCGCTGCTCCTCCTCCGAGGGCCCGGCTGGGGGCTCCGGAACTGGGGGCACCGCTGAGATGGGGCGCACAGGAGGGGCCTCTCACCTCTGTGCCTCCCGAAACCCCCTCTTCTTGGTCCACAACTTCTAACTGGGCCTCGTCACCCCAAACCTTGGCCTCCTGGCTAACAGTCCCCTCACACTCACGGGACGTGCAATCTTTCAAGACACTTTGGAATAGAGTTCTTTAGGTTTTTATGCTCAAGACAACTCTGGGTGGTTGCCAGTGGGCGCTCTACCCGGACTGGCCAACTCCTGGTATAGACCTCCTTCCCTTGGCCACAGTCCCCTTCCATCCATCCACATCCCTAGGGGCATTCGAAGGCACTCTCACCAGCCCTCTGCCACCAATCCAGCTCCCAGATCCTCCAGCCTCAGCTTACCTATCTGGTTCTTCAGTTCGGCCACACTGGCCTCCAATTCCTGCACCTGACTCACGCTGTGCTCCTTCTCTTCCCTCAATTTGTGCATCTGCCCAAAGCACAGGGGGGCGGGGCGTGTGGGGGGCGGGAAGGGAGGACCATCGCCCTCTCTACCCCTCCCCCCCTTTGGCTGCACACAGCAAGTGACAGGATTCCCATTTTACTGATGCCCAGGAAAGATCACGTGACCTGTCTAAGGTGGGGGGGCCGAAGGTCACGTCTCACCTGTTCATTCATCTGCTTCATCCTCTGCTGCCAAATGGCATTATCCTCCTTCAGATTCTTTGCATACCGGTCTCTCTCCAGTTGCAGTTGCTTCAGTGAATCTTTCAGCTGCAAGAAGGGGCGCAGAAGTTAGCAGGGGCTGTCCCTGTGCCTCGCGGGCTCCTGGGCACCTGGGGTCACCCTCCTCTCGCCCCCCTCGCTCTGCAAGGCCTCACCTGCCCCACATGGGCCTCCAGCTGTGCCCGGTCTTTCAGGGCCTGCTGTAACTCCTGGCTGCTATCAGGGGTTTTCGATTGACTAGAAAACTGGAGAATGAAAGATGAAAAGGTTAGATGTACCAGGTGTACCTGGTGGCCCAGCTGTACCACACAAGGCCCCCCCGCAAAAGGGTCTGAGCTGGGATAACGTACAACTTGGGATCGATGAAGATCTCTATGCTCACATTATTAGTACTGCATCCATAGGCTTTCTGTTAACTAAATACTCATTGTAAATGTTCCTCTAGCTCCCAATCCCCCCGACTTGGTGTGTATCCTTCCGGATCCCTTTCTGGTTATAGTGAATAAGGCTACAAACTGGTCCAGGTCCTAGAACTGGGGCGGTCAGGGCACAGAGTGCGGGCGTCCATCAACTTCCAAGTCCTCACTTTATATCTCTAGCAGGCCATTTATTAGACTGCCCATCACAGGGACGGGCCACAGAGGTGACATTCAATTAACACTTGCTGAGCGGATGGGTGGCCAGACAGGTGGATGGGTAGAGAACTCTGTCTGCTGCCCAGGCCAGACCAAATTTGGAGCTCTAACAAATCGGGTCCCATATCCAGGAGAAAGCAATCAGGAGGGTGACAGACCACATGAGAAATAGCTGTGTAGCTTGGAAAAGACGAGAGAGCGACAAGGAATCCGCAACCCCGCCAGTATCAGAAGGTCTGTCTTGGGAAAGAGACAAGATTTTTCCTGTGTTGATCGGGAGGTAAGAGCCCCACCGAGGGAAGCGACCTGAAGGCAGAGGATGGCTCGGTGTGAAGAAACTCTGACGGAGGGGAGCTCTCTGACCCTGGTGGCCAGCCTTCCGGGAGGGAGCAGACAGACTCACGGGCTAGCCTTATGCCTGCCACCCGTACAACAATGGTTTTCACCCAGGATGCTTTAAAAAACAAAATAAAAAAGCCCTCTCCCTGAGATTCTGATTCCACAGATCTGGGCCAGGCCCCGATTTGTAGATTTTGATCAGTGTTGGGAGCAGGATTCTGTGGCGGGGCCAGAGCAAGGATCCAAATCTTCCAGCTTGTGGCTGGAGGCCGCCCATGACAATCCCGGGAGACAGCGGCCCCAGACGGCTGGGGCTCGGGCTCCCTGGGGCTCCGGCCTTACCTGCTGCAGCAGGAGCTCCGACATCTCCAGCTTCTTCTGCAGCTCCTCCATCCTGAGCTGCATGCCCGCCTTCTCATTTACCAACACTCGAAGCTTCTCGTCCAGTTCCGAGTTCTGCTGCGTCAGGTCCTCGTTGTTTTTGCTGTGGCCACAGGCAGCGAGGAAAGACACAAGTACAGAACAGAAAGGAGCCCTCTGGTGACCAACCCACCACACTTGCCACAGAGCCACAGAACAGGAGCGTCGGAAGGGACCCCAGGGAACGAGAGTCCCCAGTGGCAGGCCAGAGAGAAGACCTGAGTGGCCTGAGGCCACGGCCTGCGTTGGTGGCACCGCTGGGCCCAGAGCCCAGCTCTGCACGGGTCCTAACCCGTAGGACCCCCTTCCCTGCTCCCACAGCCCTCCCGCTTGCCAGCCCCCAGCCATCCTACTTGTTTTTGTATAACTCCAGCTTCAGGGCATCTCGCTCTTTGGTTAAGTCTTTGTTGTGCTGCGAACACAGAAAGGCGAGGTCAGGCGCGGGCAGGGGGAGGGTGCGGAGGGCGGACTATCAGCTACCCTTGACGCTTCGTTCAAAGCCTTTCCAAGCCCACGCTCTCATTTGCCTCGGAAAAGAGCTCGGGCAGGGTGGGAGAGATTCCCGGCTGGCCAGCGCAGGCCCGGACAGAGCTCGTGGCATTGCTACCAGGCACAGTAAGCGCTGTGACCGATCCTTCCCTGAGCCAGTCAGCAGGCATGAGGCTAAGGATCGCGTTCAAGCCTTGCGACCACCGCATGGGGCAGGCACGACTGTGTCTGCTTTACAGGTGAACGCAGATTGTCACAGGTGAAGTCGTTTGCCTGCGATCCCCAGCAGAGCTGGAATTAAACATCCAGTCTGTCTGATTCTTCACCCACAATTTCTCCCTGCGGTGGGGGAGCAGATCCAAGGAGTGGAATTAAATTTGCATTGGGATCTTCTGTCTCTTTTTTGAATGATCTATTCATAGGCCCAGCACTCATGAAGGTACAGAGGTGACAGGTCTCCCAGAGCTACCCTGTTCCTCTCCCTGGGTTTTTATAAATCCTTTCATGCACCTTCTATCTATTACACACATGCTTCCCTTCCTACACAAATGGTAACATACTAAAAGTACTGTCCTGTACTCGGCCAAGGCCCATAGCCAGTGACCAGCAGCGTTGGCTCTCTGGCTCTGGCCTCTGCATTCAGTGCTCGCTCCAGAAAGCAGCCCCCACCACTGCCAATTCCCCCAAGACAGCCAGCTCAGCCCTGCGTTTCTTCTAACAACCACACAACTTTAAAGCAGCAAGAAACGGCCCATGCTGCCTTCTGGGCAGTAAGACACTCCATCATGTGGAAGGGACCTGTTGGGGAAGCTGCACCTCCCGCGGACGGGTCCGATGCCGGGCTTACCCTGTCCGTCTGTTTCTGCTGTGTGGAGACAGCAGACAGGGTGCGCTCCAGTTCTCCAATGCGCTGGCGGGAGGACTGCAGGCGACTAGCAAGATCTTCAGACTCTCCTGGAATGACAGAGTTTGAAATGGAACCCAGGAAGGAATCCCACCCAAGGCCTGCCAACATGCCAGGCTGAGGGATGGGAGGGTGTCTAGACCCTCACCTGCTTTCTGCCTGGCCGCCTGCTGTGTATGGGCCAGGGCTGTCTGTAAATCAGTTTTCTCAGACACGAGAATTCCTATGGTCTGAATGTGAACCTTTGGGAGAGAAGGCAAAGGGGCGCTGAATAGGAGGGAAGGAAGCGTCTCCTGGAGGGTGGGAGGGAGACCTCGGCTCCACACACCTGCAGCTGCTCCCTTAGAGAGCCCTGTTCCTTTGCAAGCTTCTGCTCAAACTCCTTCTTCTCCTGCAGGAAGGAGGACACACAACATCCCTGACTGGGAGGAGGCAGAGATGAAACAGCAACGCTCCCAGAATGACACCGATGGCCCAGGACAGGCTCAACAATGTGGCCAGATCGGGGCGGCGGGGGGTAGGGGGGGCAGC